TTAATTAAATATCGGTTTAACTAATCAAAGTTTTATTCGAGGAACAGTCAATCAGTTATAAGTATAGAAGTTAGTAAAAATTAATGCAAAAAATGAAGTTGTTACTTCAACTTTATTTTATCAAAGATATTAAATAAATCAAAAATAAAAATGTCATAAATGATAATATATTTTAATTTTAAATAAAATATTTTTTAATATAATAATGATTGCAAATATTTCGAAAATTAAAATTAAACGAAAATTAAACAAACAGCGATAAATGAAAAAATTAAGTTTAAGTTAAAATATTTAAATAACTTAAAAAGTTAAAAGATTTTTACAATATATTCAAAAATCATAAAAATCATAAAATCATAAAATCTCCCTATTTTAAGTAATTATTATTACTTTTTATTTGAATTCTGATGAAAAACAAATAATAAATAAAATACATTTTCAAAAATATAAATATTTATATATATTTATACATTTATATATAATATATATAAATGTAGACATAAGATGAATATAAATTTTTGTATATAAATTTTTGTTTAATGTCTCAAATTCATTAATAAATAAAATTTTTATTAATAAATAAAATTCTTAAACTAATTATTTCTATTCTTATATTTTTTCTCGTCTTAAAATTTGAACTCCTTTGTCATTATTTTATAACTAAGGATGATAGAGAATTCTATTATTCTATTAACTTTGTAATTTAAAATTTTATTCTATATTCTATTATAACAAATTTATGTTTAAAAAAATGAAAAGGCATTAAAATTTTAAATATTGATTTCTTTCAATGATATTCTACTAAAAGAAAATTATTTTATATATAATCTATTACATATAAAATTTCATTCCTTTTCTGATATAATGTTTGTAATATATTGGATCAATGTTTATCTCGAAAATAATAAATTTGAACAAAAGAAGAAATCTTAATGCTTTTTTAACTGAATATAATACTGAACGCAAATTTAAGAATTAATTAGAATATTAATTATTAATTTTTTTATAACAATTCATAATCAGAAAATGATTAAAGATTTGAAAATTTAAAATATAATTAATATAATTAATATAAAAATAATTAATAATATTATTTACAATTTTGAAATTTATAATACAATTCTTATTTTTATTAATATTTTTTCTTTTTGAAAAATGCACTTGTGTCACTTTTTTATATTTTTCAATTTTTAATTATTCATCCAAATAGTCTTTATTTTCATGAAAAAATAATTTTCATTTTGATATGATGATAATAATTGAATAAATAATGAATGACAATAATTGCATAAGTAAAACTATATTACATTATATATTTCTTATTTCTATAAAAAGAAATTATTTTGTTTAGATATGTATAAAAGTAAAAAAGATTGTAAAAATGGATAGTATATAAAATAGAAAAATATAGGATAAATATAAATTTTCTATTGAAAAAATAAAGAATTTTTTGATAAAAAAATTTTTTTTTTGATAAAAAAATCTATATTAAAAATTATTTAAAAAAATATTAATAAAATATTGAAAGAAATTTTTCGTTTCAAAGTAAAAATATTGAAAAATAATCCGAGATAGTTGATCAAATATATCTAATGGAAGAGAAAAATTTTTTTATATTTTTATTTTTATTTCTATTAATAATTTTTATTTGTACAATTTAATATAATTTATTATTTTTTTATAAATTAAAATAAAACATATTGAAAGAGTTTACAATTTAAAAAAAAATTCATTTACGATAATCAAAATTCATTTTAGGTAATATTTTGTTCTCTTCATCTCGCGTATATTTTATATATATTACTGGATATAAAATATGTATTATATGTGAAAAGACAGAAAGTATCCGATATAAAATAGTTATTTTATTTAAAGAGTGAAAAAAAATTCTATTTAAATTCTATTTTTAATTATATTTATAAAAATTTCAATTTGCATGAATATTCGTAATTTACATATTATTCTTAAATTTTATATTTCAAAAAATTATTTTCATATATTAAATGGTTCATACATAATCAATGATATTGATTATATATAACAATAATATTATTATTAATTATAATTATAAATAATAAAAAATTAAAATAATTTAATAACATAAATTGATTAATTTATTGCTAACTGATAATATTATTGCTAATATTATTAATTGTGTATAATTTCATTTAAATATTTTTTTCTTTAATATTAATTTGTATTTTAGTAGATATAAAATATATTTGATCAATATATTTTTACGTCACAATTTTTATTTTAAAGTAATAAATTTATAAAAATTTTATAAAATTTAAGTTTTTACAATCTAAATTCTAAAACATTTAGAACTTTCACATTATCAAAAAAATCAAAAAATCAAAAGGAATCTTTTGCAAACATTTTATGTTAATTGTCTCTTCATCATTACTCTTCCATAATGCTATCATTCGTTCAACAACGCAACAATCGATTCTTTCATGGAATATCCAGACCACGTTACACGTGTCACAAAAAGGCATTCCACGTTTTCCAATCACGAATTCTCATGAAATTTTTCAACTTCTCTATATCTTCTCTTTTTCCCTTTTCTTCTCTCTCTCTGTCTTCCTTTTTTTTCTCTCTTCATATCTCGCCCGTGTTCCTTTTTATAGGAAGAATGACGGCGACGTTTGTCGCCCATCTGCGGCGCGTTTATAGAAGCGGATATTGACAATAGATCAACTCCATTGTTGCCGACACACCAGTGTCACAATATTCCCCAATATCCTGGCTTTTCGACGAGAACCCCGGGGATCACAATACCACCTTCTAATATATGTCGGTTCGAGAGCCTAAAAACGTTTTTGCATCAAGTTCCACAGCTGGTTTTGCACGATTTTTTGCGTTTCGAAACGCGAATTTCGAAACAATAGTTTTGAATCACTGGAACTGATCATAGAGATCGAATGTGAATTATTGGGAAATATAATTCTTCCTTTAGAATAGGATCTTTTTAATTATATCGAAACCATAATTGCAAGAAACAAGTAGAAACAATCATTTATATAGTATATTATTAATTTCTATGTTTTATATCTAGAATGAATATATAATGAATATGTTTTATTATATGTTGAAGTAATGAATCATTAATAAATAAATATTAGAAAATATCAAAAAATTTTTTAATTTATTATAAACCGTTATTTATAATAAATATTCAAGAAAGAATAAAAAAGAAAATACATTTTGATGTTAAAGATTCAAAAAAAAAGAGAGAGATTATAAAAAAAATTCAATATAAGAAATTCAAATACTAATTTTACAACAACAATTCTTTCTTAAATTTTATCTAATTTATTAATCATTTTAATATTTTTTATATTTTTTTTAATATTTTAAAATATCAAATTGATATTTTAAAGAATTATTTTTATTAATGACTTTTTTAAAACTGTCTTAGATGATTCCTTCATTTCTTTAATGTTTAATATTGTTTTTGTCAATATTACAATTTATTTATAATGTATATTTCAATTTATAATGATAATCTCTTTATAAAAAATAATAAAAATAATAAAACATTTATTATTTTATATAATATAAATGTAATATAAATTTATATTAACATCTTAAAAAAATATTTCTACGAATTCAAAATGCATTTTTTTCAATTGTCTTGTAAATTATACGAATATTTTTGAGGATAGCTATATATTATTAATTATTATTAATTTATTATTATTAATTTAATTCCAAATTATTATTAATTCCAAATTATATCATTGATTTGATGATTTTTGATGAGCATTTTATCAGTTTCCAGTGATTTTTCATATATTCAA